ACCACCCCGAATGCACCAGATCTCATCTGATCTCGGAAGCTAAGCAGGTTCGGGCCTGGTTAGTACTTGTATGGGAGAAATCCAAAATGAAGCCATAGTAAGATAACACTACAGGGTTATTAATACGACTAAAATACTTTTCTAAATGACAATATTAAGTCCTGGTGAGAATGCATAATATGGAATTCTTCTGATCCTAGTTTGGCAGTTCCTTACCGTACGGCCCAGCCAGCCCACTCCTAAGTGGGAAGAAAAGAAAACATACATCTGCACAAAAACATATATGCAAATGTTCACAGCTTTATTTCATAATCTCCTCAAAATGTAAGCAACTCAAATGTTCACAACTGGTGAATGGATAAACAAATTGTGGTCTATCCATACCATAAGGTAGTACTCCGCAGTCAAAAGAAACAGGCTACTTATACACTCAACAACATGGACTGAATCTCAAAGGCACCACGCTGAGTGGAGAAGTCCTACTCAAAAGCCAATACACCCAATGACGTTGTTTGTGTGGCATTCTGGAGAAGGCAAAGCAGACCGAGACAGAAAACACACTAAGGATGGGACGGGTGAGAGGAGGCCAAGGGGTCAGCTACAAAGGGAGCACAGAAGGACTTTGGCAGTGGGGCCATATACCATGACTCGATTGTGGGGGTGGAGGTGCTTTATGGATTTACCAAAGTTCATAGAATGGGATAACTGAAAAGGGTGGATTTCATTGTATGTACATTATACCATAGTAAACCTGATGCTAAAAAAAGATCAATCAGAGTATTTTATCCCTCTTCTGCTTCCTATCTCAACATCTGCTCCCTGCAACCCCTCACCCCCACCCCCTGCTCAGTGAGCCTTGCCTTCCTGGCTGGTTGTGTGACACACCAAGGCCTTTGCACCCCCTGGTCTTTTTCTGCCTTCGGGGTCTTATACACACACCACCTTCTCATGAGACCTTTCCTGACTACCCTGTCCAAAATTTCAGCCCTCCTAATATTTCTCATCCCTCCCTACTTAAGCTTTTTTTGCACCCAACAGACTATGTTTTGAACTTACTGCCACTTTATTGTTGAGTCAAGCCACATGGTGCCACAAAGGCGGCTCCTTTGCTTTTGTTCCATCACCTAGAATAGTCCCTGGCACGGGAGGGTGCTCACTTGATAGTTTTGAATGGCTGGATGAACAGCTGGACCGTCACCATATCCCTTCTCCACTCCCAGGGCCCACGCACACAGGCCTCTGTCTCTGCACGTGCCCATCAGTGACGCTCTGACAGCCGCCATGGCCCTGCTTCTCCATGCTCTGCCCTTTCTCCTGGCAATGTCCTTGCCCCATTTACCCTCCCACCACACCTCTACCTGCTGGCTCCCCCAGGGGTCCCGTGAGACTGCTCCTAACATCTCTCTTCCCCTCCACACCCTTGTCCTGCCCCAGCCAGCACCAAGCAGCATCAGTGGGATGCAGAGTTGAGGAAGGAGATTTCCTCTGTTTGGGCCAATCTGCCCCAGAAGACCCTGGATTTACAGGTGCCACCCCATAAACGTAAGTGAGGGCAAGAAATTCTCCTTGTTCACCCCCCTTTTGTGTCCCACCCAGAGGCAGAGCCAGGAGGCCTGGGCCAGGTTGACCTCGTCAATAGTCTAGACTTAGTTTCTACCTGCAGGCAGAACGGTCTAACCAGTGGGTTCGTAGGGACTGTGGGAACGTATTCCCTGGGCTTTATTCTGTTGACCACAGTCACCCACATTCCGGGTGGGGCTGTATACTTAAAAAAATCCAGAGAACAGCAGGGAGACTCCTACAGTTAGAGATGAGGTGCTTAAAGATTAAACCCCACATCCACTTCATTGGGAGGAGATGGAGGGCCCTGTGGAGAGTCAGTACAGCTCCAGAGGACATGTGCTCAGTGTCCAAAGATGCAACTTCAGCCAAGCCCTGTGCCCTTCCCTGAGCATGTCCAGGAGTCCCTGTGGTGGAGGCTGTTCCCTTGCCCCCCACCTCCTCTTCCTCCTCCACACTCCACCCTCTGTTTTCTCTCCCTCCAGCTGATGAGATGACCGTAGGAAAGGTGTATGCTGCTCTGATGATACTTGACTTCTACAAACAGAACAAGACCCCCAGAGACCAGATCCACCAGGCCACGGGAGGCCTGTCCCAGGTACCGAGTTCCAGGATTTCCAAGAAGTAAACCTCAGACTCTGGCACCCATCAGTGGTTTTGACGGCAGAGGAAACCCACATCCTTCCTGGGGATTGCACGGCGGGAAAAAGAAGATGAGAGGTTCTTACTGTAGCCTCACTCTCTGGCCCCAAATTCAGAAACCCCATAAAGCCTTATGCTTTCCAATGGCTGGTCTCTTGCTGGTACTGGGGGCCCCCTGACTTGGAGACCTAGTGTTCAGGAGCAGTAGACAAGGGGCTGAGGACATGTTCCCTGGAGATACCACTTTTTGAATTGGTAGAAGAAAGAAGTTTGAAGAATATTTGAGGAGGTTGTTTGGGGAGGTTCGAGGAGAACCTGATTACCGTGCACATTGGCAGGGACCGGAGAGAATCAAACTGATGGGTCCAGGGTCATGATCTCTTCCACTCACGACTCTGACTGGGCTGGTTTGGGGCCCCATCTTCCTGATGTTATTCTTCAAAGATAACAACTTTCCCATGCAGCCAAACCATCAGTGACCATACGTAGACTGTCTAGAAAGTTGCCTGGTGTTCGGAGCTTACAGGGACATTCACCATTGCAGGATGGGAAGTATCTGATGCCCACACCACATCCCCCGTTCCCCTGTCTGTTGCAGACACCCATCAGTGCCCCCCTGCTGCCCCCCGAGCCCTGAAATATCCTTAGAATTCTGCTCAGTCTGGGGCTCATGCAGCCTCTAGCCATCAATCTAAGTTGATGAGATGAAATCTTTTTACCATTTGTAATTGGATGAGGTCCCCAGATTTTGTCAGTAGGGAAACTGAAGCTCCAAGAAGTGAAATGACTTTCCTGTTGTCACTCACAGGCCAGGTTGGCAGTAAGCCCCCGCCTACCTCCTGTGTAGGGCTGGGGCAGGGCAGAAGGAGCACCAACCCATGCTGTGGTGTCAGGGCAGCTTTCCGGCACACCTGTCTCTGCCCTTAGAGCTCTTCCTCTTCCCTGCGTCCCTTCTACAGATGGGCCCTGTGTCCCTGTTCCACCCTCTGAAGGCCACGCTGGAGCAGACACAGCCGGCTGTGCTCCGAGGAGCCCGGGTTTTCCTTCGGCAGAGGAACTCTGCGTCCCTCAGCAACGGCGGGGCCGTGTGAGTACCTGACCAGGGTGCGAGGTGCACGGAGGAGGCAGGACTCCTGGTTTCTCCCCCTCCCAGAGGGGCTCCCTGTAGGCGGTGCTGCAGGACATGGAGCCCTCAGGTCCCATCACCACTTTGGGAGACTGGCCTCTCTGTTCCACCCCGTGCCCACCTCCCCCCAAATGGTTCCCCACGGATGTTGCCTGAAAGCTAGTCCAGGCGGGCTGCTGGTGCGGTCCATGGTGCACTCCAAAGCTAATTCCCGAAACGTTACACGGGTGCCTCTGATGGCACCGAGGTCAGTGGATTTAGACAGTCGGTGGTTCCCACTGTCTCCTCCCATTGTGCGTGCCCATTTCCCTTACCGGTGAGGGGACTCTGCCTCCGCTTTCTCACTGCCTTTTGAGAAATGATTTGTTTCGACCCCATTCTGTTGACATCTTTTGTGTGTCTAGTCTTCCTAACACCTCTAAGACAGTTTTCCTAAGATCTCCACTCCAGTAGTGATTTCTGAAGCAACTGTAATTTGTAGACAAATTGGTAATGTCCTTGTTACCTAACCCTTAACTTTTTCCACAATAATTCTTGGTAATGAAGCACCGAAAACCAAGTGTTGCAAACTAACAGTCACCTACCTGTCTTGCACCGTGTGTCACTGGGGGGTGGTAGCAGGCAGGCTCCTCTCAGCCACCCCCCTCAGGGCCAGCAGGGTCCCAGGTCTGCTAACACCCTATTGGCTAAATGAAAACATTGGCTGAGCCCAACGATGGGGGCCTGTGCTCTGCCTCATCCATCAAGGGCTAAGTTGTGGGGCCTGGTACCAGACTGGGCACAGCATTCACGTTTAAGGCTCCTGATTTCCTCCACATCTGTACATGTTTGGACGTTCTTTTCTGAAGCCTGGTTGTGGGTCTTGGACTATTAATCAGGTAGGTTTTCCTGAGTACTCCACTGCCCCTAACATAGTGGTCAGGGCTTGCTGTGTACCAGCGTAGACCTGATGTCCGCACTCTGCGTCATGCATGCTGTGCATATGTGGCCTCCCACTACTCCTGGAAGGCCCTGTCTAGGGCCGAGGAACCTGCCAGGTGTCCCTAGATCAGGAAGCGATGGGCCCAGACCTCCCTCGGACTCATGTCCGGGTGCCCTCCCTGCCCATCTGCTCCGAGCCCTGGTAATGGGTCCACATCCCATGCTCTGTGGACACTTGAGAGCCTGTACTTGAAGGGCCTCACGCCTCTGGGCTACTTCTAACCCAGAGTAGAAGGGGCCAGTATAGGTTCCTGGCAGTTTGGAGCCAGGTCCTTGGTGGGCATTCCATGGCCCACAGACCTCTGAGCCAACAGCACAATCCTTTCTTCTCTACAGACAAACCCAGGAGAGTGGCATCAAGGAGTCTGTTTCCTGGGGTACTCAGAGGACCCAGGAGATCCCCTATGAGGCAAGGACAACCCTGGAGCGTGGCCACTCTACAGAGATCCCAGTGGTGCAGCCAGGAAAACAGGTGAGGGCTCCCAGGGCTGGGAAGCCAGGCTGGGGATGGGGGATGAGATAAGGATTGGGGTGAGACAGGGATGGTGGGAGATGGCAGGAATGTGGCGGGGAGCCCAGGATGGGGGAGAAGGTGAGAGTGGGGTGGGGGCTGGTGTGACTGCGGGCTGCTATATGCCCAGGCTGTGGAGGTCCAGATGCAGAGCATGGCCCTGAGAGGTCCTGACAGGGAGCCCCAACCCGGACTGGAGAGCCAGGGATGAGCGGCCTCCATGCCTCGACCGGCTGCAGAGACTCAGGTGGGTGGTCTGGGAGGGTCAGGGTCATGGGAGGGTGGGGGAGTGGGGGATGAGGAGACCTGGCTTGGAGAGGGCTTGTGTCCTGCGTGAGGGCTCCCTACCTGCACTGC